TGTCTGTCTGTCTGTCTGTCTGTCTGTCTGTCTGTCTGTCTGTCTGTCTGTCTGTCTGTCTGTCTGTCTGTCTGTCTGTCTGTCTGTCTGTCTGTCTGTCTGTCTGTCTGTCTGTCTGTCTGTCTGTCTGTCTGTCTGTCTGTCTGTCTGTCTGTCTGTCTGTCTGTCTGTCTGTCTGTCTGTCTGTCTGTCTGTCTGTCTGTCTGTCTGTCTGTCTGTCTGTCTGTCTGTCTGTCTGTCTGTCTGTCTGTCTGTCTGTCTGTCTGTCTGTCTGTCTGTCTGTCTGTCTGTCTGTCTGTCTGTCTGTCTGTCTGTCTGTCTGTCTGTCTGTCTGTCTGTCTGTCTGTCTGTCTGTCTGTCTGTCTGTCTGTCTGTCTGTCTGTCTGTCTGTCTGTCTGTCTGTCTGTCTGTCTGTCTGTCTGTCTGTCTGTCTGTCTGTCTGTCTGTCTGTCTGTCTGTCTGTCTGTCTGTCTGTCTCTCTCTCTCTCTCTCTCTCTCTCTCTCTCTCTCTCTCTCTCTCTCTCTCTCTCTCTCTCTCTCTCTCTCTCTCTCTCTCTTCTCCCTCCCTCCTCCTCTCGAATATCTTTTCCTTCCCCTCTATCTCTCTCCCTCTCTCTCTCTCTCACTCCTCCTCTCTCTCCGCTCAATTGTCTCAACATCTAATCCTCCTGTTACTAACCCTTCTGAGAGCGTATTGACAATAACGATACAAGGATTACTGGCAAATGCCCGGGGATTACGGATAGCGTATTGGGGATGTCGGCCAAATAAATGGAACCTGAATTACCATCAGACGGAAATAAGTCTGAAAGATTCTCCGCTTCACGACAAGGACAGTACTCTCACAAAAAAACACACTTAAAGATCTGAAGAAAAAAATGTTCATGGTATAGTGTTATCACTACAACGAATACCGTGGTTATTTTGTAATAAAAAGAAATGTTTGATGAATTCATACAAACGTGTAATATTGAAAGTAGGATCCTCGATACTTGCGGGAAGAGTTAGTGATGACCTTTTTGTGTAATCTCTTGTCTCCATTTCATCACTTCATCACTTATTCGAATTTGCCGAACATCTGTGATAGCCTAACATGATGCATAAAATATATTATTGCGAAAGTTTTGTCGAATTCCGAATCTTTTTATGGCATATGTCTTTGTTATTACTTAAAACATATTTTAACAGATTTTAACAAATTATCCACTCGTAGGAAGCTGTGAAAAAGGTCTCTAAATGCTTGCATTCTTCAAGGCTGCTTCATCGCTCACAACTGTCCGCCTACTACATATCTACTATCCACTGACGTCATATCTTTCCACTGACGTCACGCCCCCACGTGTCCCCAGTGGAAGGATATGGTGGAGGTCACGTGTCAGGACTCGTGGCCGGTGGCGCACGTCTGGGACCCCTTGCTGGGCAGGTGTACACGGACCCACAAACACAAGATCGCCTACTATACAATGGTGAGTCGAACAAGATCGCCTACTATACAATGGTGAGTCGAACAAGATCGCCTACTATACAATGGTGAGTCGAACAAGATCGCCTACTATACAATGGTGAGTCGAACAAGATCGCCTACTATACAATGGTGAGTCGAACAAGATCGCCTACTATACAATGGTAAGTCGAACAAGATCGCCTACTATACAATGGTGAGTCGAACAAGATCGCCTACTATACAATGGTGAGTCGAACAAGATCGCCTACTATACAATGGTGAGTCGAACAAGATCGCCTACTATACAATGGTGAGTCGAACAAGATCGCCTACTATACAATGGTGAGTCGAACAAGATCGCCTACTATACAATGGTGAGTACCTACCGAGTTGACAAACCGAGTTGATCGATTTGTGTGCTTCTTATGTATTTGTTAGCAGAAGAGGAGAAGAGAAGAAGAGAGATCAGAAGAAGAGGAGAGAATAAAGGGAGAAATGAGAAGGAGAGGGAGAAAAGTATGAAGAGAGAATGAATAAACTATAAAGAATGAATGAATGGAACATTGAAACATGGAAACCCGATATGTGTGAGGAGTGGGATAAATTAATTCCCACAATTTGCGTTTGAAAAGGATTTATTCACATGCCCACATTACCCTGAATTTGCAAATCATGTTAGAGCACCCGGTTTTCAGATTGTACCAGAGGCGCTCACTCTAAACGACGCATTAGCGACGACGTCCCGTTCAGAAAGTACGCTATAGCTGTTCAACACGTGGCGCGGATCACATTAAGATAGCAAAGTCATGCATTAACATAATTGACCAACGCGTATCTCGCAGCATGGTACTACGCAGTGCACAGTAGGGTGTTTCATTACACTATGGTAAAATAATGTTGGTTCAAAACTCAGCCATATCGACTTTGCCCCAACTCTACCCGTAAAACTGAATCGATTGATACGCTTGAAACCCAAATTTAAGTATATTTAGGGGTCGCACACTTTTGTCACCAAAACTCGTTACACAGAGAAGGGGGCACATCCTTCCTTGGTGCGCTTGGGCAGCGCCTTCCGGTTGAGTTCCACGACTCGCAGGCCATCGTTGTTAGGGCCCTGCCGCCCTCAATAGACCGTTGCAGAGCCCTCAGATGCCAGCATAGCCCCCGCAGCCTGGTTGTGTTGGGGCTCTCAGAGGCCGTCGCTGGGCCGCCTGAAGCCAAATGGGCCCTCAGACTTGAGTTGGGTCTAGGGCCGTCACGAGGGCCCTCAGAGACCGTCGTAGAGACCCTCAGGGGCCAGTGGGGCCCCTGGAGTCCTGTGGGACCCTCAGCGGTCGTCATGAGGGCCCTTAGTGGTCGTTATAGGGCCCCAGGGGACAGAGTTCGTCGTGAGAGCCCACATAGATCATCGTAAGGGCCCTCAGAGGCCGTCATAGGGGCCCTCAGAGGCCAGCGTGGCCCCTGGAGTCTCTGTGGGTCCCTCAGCGGTCGTCACGAGGGCCCTTAGTGGCCGTTGTAGGGCCCCAGGGGACAAAGCCCTCAGGTGGGAGCCCTCAGAGATCGTCATAAAAGGGCCCTCTGAGGCCGTCGTGGGGGCCCTCAGATGCCGTGTGGAGCACCAAACGCGGCTCGGGACACTTCTAGCCGGTGTGGAGGCCCCGACGCGGTTCACGCCGTCCTGTCGCCGGGCTGTCAGTGGTATTCGTCGTCCTAAAGGTCGGTTCACATGTCGTTGTCACTGGTAGCGTGTTTCGGGGAGGTGATAAAGGTCGCGAGTGGACCGATGAGGATTTGGATTTTGTGGTGGGAGTGGGGTCATGTGAAGGGTTTGGGAGCACGATCATTTGAGAGGTTTGGAAGATGGGTATTTTGTGATTTTAATATGCATTTGTTTTCCAATGCGGTATCTATTTAACAATATGGTGGGTAAATAGCCACTATAAGACCAATTACAAACCAATATCTGTCCACCGGGAGAATCAATGATCAATCAAAGAAAACGGGATTCTTAAGGCTAGGTAACACAAAATTTGTCGCGAATATGTTAAATCTACACTGGCGAATTTCGCGGACATTCAGCTGCACCAAAATAAGAGTTCTTCAGCATGATGGCAAAGGTATACATCCCCTAAAATCACTCCCGCGCCGGGAATCGAACCCGGGCCTTCTGGGTGAAAGCCAGATATCCTAGCCACTAGACCACGCGGGACCACGTTATGTATTGTTAAGGCCAAATTAGACTATAACTGCATCGGTACACTCACTTTTGAAATATACCTAGGTACTGGTTATCGGTGCCATCATTTTCCTCATCGAATTAAACAATGCCGGACTACAACGGTCGGCGCTGGCAACACACGAAAACTGGCTAAACCAGTTACCACCGGACCCCCCCCCCCCCCAACACCACGCTCCCCATCCCTACCACATTTGTCCAGTTCGTTTATTCGTCACCGTATCCAACCATTCATTAGTCCCCTTTCCCTCCCCTCATGTGTTCTCAAGCGCCACTAGGCCGGACATATCGTTGCCCCTCCCCCTCCTCCCCTCCCGTTGTCAGCCCCCCCCCCTCCCGCGCCGCCGCTGCCGGCCGATGTTGATGTTTTAATGCGAAAAGCGGACCCGTCATGAAGCTGCAGTAGGGCAGAAAGTGAGGCATTGAGACAGTGATAGAGTGAGGAAAACAATGAGACACAAACACTGAGACACTGCGGCAGTAAGACGTCTCAATCAGTCAGAGGTGCTGAGACAGCGAGGCCCATAAAACAGTAAGATACTGAGACATTCAGGAAGTGAGACACTGAAACACTTAACTAAAGCACATGACATAACAACACTGAAAAACAGAAAACTGAAGCAAATACTGATCCATTGAAGCCCACCCACCACCTTCCGTCTCCCCCAGTGATTGTTCCACGACCTTCATGAGGCGCTGAAACAGTAACAATAAGGCAGACAGACACTGAATCAGTAAGGAAATAAGTCATTGAGACAAAAAACACACAGGCACAGATTCTAAGAAATCAAAGAAATCAAGGAACTGACATACTTAAGCACTGGTATTTTTTTATTTAAATTTATTCCGAATCTTTTGAATGGAAGGATTCACAAGGACAGAGCTCCCGCTAAGCGAAGCTTGTTGCGTTGGCCCTGCCCTCTACCCTCCGATCGCGCAATTCCTGTTCTATGGCAGAATTTACAGTCCAAAGTTTAACATACGCACATAGCCGCGCGCGGCCGGAGATACCCCTAATGTTCTGATACGCCAAGACACAGAATCCCTGCGTCTTCGTCAGCGATTGTTCCACGATCCACCATGTTGTTGTTGGCTGCGGTCCCCGTCATTCTATATTGGTCCAGAACTGCCGCCCGGCCACGCGGGTAGAGGGCTGCCAAGATTGTCGCCAAAACTTGGATCAAGCCGTATTACAGCAGTGGTATTTCGAAGAGTTGGAAGGTGTTAGCGTTGCTTGGATGTGTGGGTAAATATTGTTAGGAATTACATAATGAGACATTTGTTTGTAGGACCAGCAAGAGAAATGATGTGAAGATATTTGCAAAACTAGAACTATGTTGCTAAGTGCGACTAAGAAGTCTAGAAGGAGTGAAAGTGACGTTTTTTCATTTCATATCCGCACGTTTGTTTTCGTTGATGGCTGGCGTACATTTTCAAATAACCAATTTCCGCATCTGTACACAAACATGAAGAACGTTTTCGACCGTTGCAATTACAGATGAGCCGCTGCTTTTTAATGAGAACACAATGACACTAACATTTTTTCCTCTTATTTTTTCCACACAGAAACCGGATAAAAAAACAACAACAAAATAATCACATAAAGTGGTTGAAATAACATCAACACTGTGTGTTGGGGCAATGACTTGTATCGACCTCAGTTGTTTTCGCAGCAGATCCATGGGTTTTCTTCCCCCAGCAAGACGTGTTATTTTAGAAATCAGCGTGGCTACCGGAATGTTTAATTTGTAAACCCCAGATGCCGCCTTCGCTGTTTCTCTCGTTTAGACGACAGTATAGGGCTCATCAGTAACATAACTCAGCCGGTGATATTCCACTGTGACGTCATAATGACGTCATAGGATCAGCGTGCCAGCAGAATGACGTCCTGATGTGAGGGGAAGGAATGGATGTGAAAGACGATTCTTATTACATTATTTTGTGTGGCTGTTGATGAAATGTTCCTTAAATTATGGCACGGCATTCGTTGGTGCTTTTTCAGTTATTTAACTATTTTAGCTGCTTTAGGAGCATACTATGCTGCTTACCGTGCCCCACCATATTATTTTTTATTGTGTTTGGTTCCAGATTGTTTCCATGCACCAGTACATCATTGCAATGCATTCACAGTAGGTACTATTTATTAGCACTTCCATTTTTCCGGTAGACACAAATAAAACAGGAAGCTGCTGCCGCTTGCCACAGATTCATTTACGAGTTACTCTGACTGTCATCAGCCAGTAACGACATGCTCATGTCATTGTCTTCATGGCTGATGGCCAGCTTCAATACATCACAAAATCAACCGACTTCACTGAATATGCCGAAGCCATTTCCGGGAAACGAATAGCCGATTCCGTAATGGGAAACGTCAATCAGCATAGCATGTGGTCGGCGATTTGGCGGTTTTCGACCGAACATCGCGCGTGCATTTGTAGATATGACGCCTCCGTAATTGACGACGGTAACGCGGGTGTCATTTTCGGCGTGAGAAAGCGACGGGAAAGCGCTGGGAAAGTGCTGGGAAAGATGGTGTTGGGATAGAAAGGCGATGAGGTAGTTGTTGAGAAAAATGTGGGAGTTCTTCTGTTCTAGCAACGCAAGGCCGTGAATGAAACTAAGGATGCGTGGGAAAAGAACGGGTGGCGTCAAGCTCCGATAAACTTATTTGTTGCTTTGGGTGACTATTTAGTCAGTGAACTGTGGCCAGACTGTAACGATACAATTACGTCACCAATATGGAAAATTTAAGGATACATATCATGAGATGGAACTACCGTAGACAAGTGTATGTTTTGACAGAGCCCGTACCCGGAATAACCATCCTAAGCAAAAGCTCTAATTGCCTTTTTTGTCATCGCATCCCTTGCCCAAACGAAACTCCACCTTTTTCTGCTTCACCTCCCATCTGACGGTCAATACGGTCGATTTCCAGGTGACTCTGGCGTTGTTTTTCGCCCCTATCGGCATCATGGGCGTGACGTACGCGCTCATCATCTGGAGGCTATGGGTTTCTGCTGTACCTGATATAGGAGGCACGTCCCGGGTCCACTCACAGCATAACGCCAAGAAGAAGGTAAGCACTGCAGCCACTAACAAAAAAGTCAAATGTATGTACCTACAGATGTGTGAACATAAATTGTAACGCCGGTATCTCATTGTTAGGGAGGTGGGTTGGTAAAGTTTTGAAATAAACAAGGGAATCTTACTTGAAAGGTGTAATGGCAGTGCATGGTATAATAAGGAGAGGTGATGTTAATTTCTTAAACGTCTTTGGACAGAGAAGATTGGCATGTGCCGTAAGATAAACAACATGAGGTAAAGATATTCATCAATATGGAAGAATGTTTGCCACTGCTATGCATTTCCACGAGCACACGAAGAGACTGTCTGTTTTACTCGCCAGGTCACGCCCATGAAATGCCCCTCGGCGACCTCTGTTTGCTGACAGAGCTCCGAAATTTAAGCTTATTCTGCCTCCATGACGTAATTTGCCATGAATGCTGATGTAATCTGCCCCCATTTAGCCTCAATCTGCGCCGGATGGGACGCTTTGGGAGCAGATATTGACCCTCTATTGACCCGACGGGCCGAGTTGGTCCACGGTGCCGTGTTCGACGCCGTCGCTCGCTGTTGATAGTGCGGTCGGAGAGCCAATCAGAGGCCGTTATTTCTGCTCACGGCGGCCGTTTGTTGCCGTTGGTGGCGGCCGGTGAACACGACTGGCTGTAGGGTAGAGATAGTCGGTCTGGGGGGTGAGATATTGCTGCGGTTTATGGTTGGGGATGTAAAGGTAAATGGCGTCTGGTTTTGAGTCAGAGAATAGTGGGAAGCAGAAATGAAGAATGTAGAATATGTTTGAAGTAGGTACAGTCCAGGAAATGTTTACATTCCCGTCTCTTGCGCTGTGGTGACCCTTTCCTTTATAAATCAGGTATCCACGTTAGCTTAGCAAAGTATGTAAACACGCATCACAAATGGATATGCCAAGCACAAAAAAAATCCGTTCGTAATGCATATTTACTTGTTCCATGTTCACGGATCCCCCACTAATTCTTTCAAAACATTTCCCACCGCCACCAAAATGTATTTCACTTTGCGCTTACGCACAATCTGCTCCACATTTCCACCACCATTTAATGACAATCGTTCCTACATTTCACTAGCGTTGATCGTCAGAGAACCCCCATTCAGCTGATCCTAACCCAGCAGTGGGCATAACACCCAATTTGCGCCATTAATAGTCCCCCAATAACTATGCTTCCAACACCACCGCTCTGACTTTATGACGTTCTAACTGCGCTATCGCGTGTCGTACTTCCATTGAAATTCTCTCGGGGCACTGGGGATTCCAGTGGACGTTATTGTAATCCAATTAACTCGATTTATCTTTTGGACGATCCGCTTGTCTAGCTTAAAGGGAGATAATGAGCTTTCTTTTTTCTTAAATAAAAATTACTCGACATCTATACTATTTCTACTGTAGTTTCTATAAAATATGAAAATTTCCTAGCACATTTTCGTATGTGAAAAAGGTTTTATTTTTGCAAAAAAGAAGCAGTACTTGCAGTACTTGTAACACCCACCGAAATGCGTTGTCCTTCTCTATAAAAAAGTCGCAGTATATGGCGCTTTTGTTTCAAACAGCGACGCTTGGGTTTTTGTTTATGTTATCGCCTTGTCGTTGCTTGGTTATAAGGATTCTAATTTGAATTAGAGTTAATTCGGTTTAGAATTAATTAGATTCTAATTCGGGGGTACATAGTGCCTACTCTTCTTTGTTCCCAAGTATTATTTTGCGCCACAAATGAACGGCAAGCGCCAGAAACGCAGCCAAATCTTGCGATTGCGACTACGAAATCCATTATTTTGGCCTCAGAGCCTGAAGCGAAAAATACAAGCATATTTATTTCAAAAAGACTTCAGGTTTGTCGAACGGTGTTATGAGAATTTTGATAACAGTACTGCATAAGTTTTTCAGTGATGCCGCAAAAGTGTTGTATCTATCTTCTTTTATTGTGCAGTCGGCGGGACCGATTCAAAATTGAGTCGTTGCTACTAAAATAGCAGCATATGGCGACAGATGATGAACAGGAAAAATAGTTGCGTAAATTTAGACATAAACCACCCCCAAACCATGAATATCTTTTGAAGGCACTATAGACGACCATTAACTAACTAGATGTGATGAAGATCAAATGTAATGAATACGCTCATTTTACAAAATTACATGCAAGTACCAAAAAGTGATGTAAGTACTTATTCAACGGTCATTTTCAGCGCTCCCCGCTAACGTGACTTCAAGTTGAGATATTTGCGGCAAGGTACCGAATTGAGCAAAATGGTTTTAATTTACATTATAACTTGTTGTGTTTTGTCAGAAAATGGTCCTAACTCAGATTTTGTGGAAAAAGGTCATAATCTCCCTTTAACGACACTGTCCGCAGGATAAGCGGGATAAACGTTGACCGGCGTCGGTGATCTTAGCTGAAATATTACCACTACCGGCACGTGGATTTTCTACTATGGGGATTTCGTGGCGACGCGAGGGATGTGTTGTGACTCACGCAATATGGAGCCGGATTTATGCGTTTGGTTGTGGAGGTATTCAGGTAGCTCACCCTGTGGCGTGATTCGTGGCAATATGGTGGTCATGATTTACGCTGTTAAAGGAGTGTATGGAAATTTACGGCCTTTGGATGGGGACTTTTCCCATCCGATCTGATTCTGACTTGTAAAAGTGATGAGTTTTCGTGAGAATTTTTGTCGAAACGCTCGACTATTACTTAGGAGATGAAATAGTGTTTGGGAAGCAATAACTTTGACGTGAAGTGTAACGTGTCATGCTATTTGTGAAGCTGGTCTGTCCGGTAAAGCAAACGTACATCTTCCCCTTTGTAATATCAATATGAAAAGCATTACAGCAAAATGTCGCTTAACCCGCGCCCCACTGGGGGGGGGGGCTATTTATAGCCCCCCCCCTCCCGTTTTTCTGCAATAACTTCCAAACCGCTTGACGAATCGACGCAAAACTTTCAGTACCTTCGGCTGCATCAATTTGACACCTTGTGTCAAAATTTGAACTTCGTAGCTACCATAGGTCGGCCGAAAATGACGTCAGAGTGACGTCATGTTCGTCCGATTTCGACGCAAAACATTGAACCACGGCAATCGCTCCCAAGAGCTCAGTTTTTAAGCTAGATCCAATTTCTTTGCATGAAAGGACTCAGAATTGACCGCGCTATCAAACTGCTATCACGGATTTTCAAAGTTTTGAAAATTTCGAAAATTTTATATAATAATATTCAAAATTTATATTTTTATATTTTTTTCAAAAAGTTATTGACTTTTCGAAAAAACCGGAATATATGTGACAGAACGCATGATTATGACTAAGTCTAGCAAGTTTTAGCTAAATATCTTCAAAAATGGCCAAGTTATACGCATTATTGCAAAAAGTTCACAATTATTAATTTTTCAAATCAATTTTTCAGTACGTATTTGGCATCGTACACCAATATAAATGGCACCATCGTGTTCCTGAGCTCAAACTGCATCCAATAGACACCTTTTTTGTTGAAAAATTTCAACTTCAAAATTTGACCTTTTTTGACCTGAAAGTGACCTGACCTAAGCTAATTTCGACTCAAAATGACCTTGAATGACACAGACGACATCAAATTCGAAATCTATGGCCTAAATGGACCATAAAACATGTGTCACGTGACCGACGCATGATATAATATTTTCGTGACCTGTGATGACCTGACCCTGACCTGAAAATCAAAGTACAAGTTTGGTACCCTCAAGGTATCTAGAGCATCTGTTCACGAGTGTGGAAACCAAAAATGAGCCTGATCTGACTTGTAAGACGGCGGCCAGAGCCCAAAATGTGAACAAGCCAAAGTGCTAATAGTTTTTACTTTGACCTGACCTGTGACGTCATCGGTGACCTCGAGGTCAATGAAATTAGGTTTCGCTCGATAGTTTTTCCGGGGCTATCAGACGCCGTTTGAATTTTGACGATCGGCCCAGTAGTTTCGGAGTTAGGAGGGGGGGGGCTATGAATAGCCCCCCCCCCCCCCAGTAGGGCGTGTTATACACAGACCCCAGTGGGGCGCGGGTTAAGGCCTTCCAGATGCATTTTTCCAGCCATAACTAGAAGCGATAGATGTCTGGTTTTTAAATCATTCTTCGTTAAAGTATCAGACACTTCAAGTGATGCGTTAAAGGGCAGGCTCTCTGAAATTTGATGGAAGTGTCAAGTGAAAAGAGATTATAGAAATGTTGAGCTAAAACGTCAAGGAAGAGAGAAAGGCGTTTACAAGGTGTCGTATATATGTGCAATATTTATTTTTCGTTACCGCTCGTACGAACTTACCGTGCTTCCGTATATTATACCTACGTGTTCGTCTATAAGCACTAAGTGTTTTGTGTGTTCAAAACCAAACCGCAAAAACATGTATTTTGAACAGACAACTTCATAGATGTACTCCATACACAAATTCCACATATTGATGTCACTGACTTGTCATGAAAGAGTCTTATACTTAATTAGATTAAATCGACGTAAATTGATTTTGGGTACATCAAACCCTTCTGAAAACAACAATGTTGCCCAAATGCTCAAAAATGTAACAACACAAAACAATACATTGAAATCGGCCATTTTTTCAAAAACCTTTGGCAAATGAAAAACAAAACGTCTATGTGCGTATTTATTCCAGGTGAAACTGCCTGCCTGAATCTGGCTGCATCCGGCAAAGTCAAGTTTCAGCTGGTTATTTCCAGATTTATCCAGCACTGTTCAGACACAGAAAGCCTTACAGGCGTAGTACTTTTCATCGGTGCAGCTTCTGTCGTTCCAACGACCTCCGTATCCATACATCAGCTGAAACAGGGGTCAACAGAGGTCAGTAGAGGTCAGTAGAGGCTAGCAGAGGTCAACAGGGATCAAAACAAAGATCCCAAACTTAACCCTCGCCCGCACATGCCATTTTCCCATCCTAGAACGCAAATGGGGGGGGGGGGTTGCCACACCCCCGCGTCATTTCGTTCCTGTTGGAGATAGAGCTTCGCGGTAGACCAAAAAGATTTTTTGGGAAGAGACAAATCCAATGATACCCAGTTTTACCTTCTCAGGTCAGTCATTGACCTTCCAGGTCAGGTCAAGCTAAAACATGTTGCTGTTTTGGGTCACCGTTGGATATCAAGTGCGCTGCTTATCATATAGTGATGACGATGCCGTTTTCTTGTGGCAAGCCAGCTAGAGCCTCTTTGTCACACTACCCGACCAGGTTTTTGCTGCTGAGGTCATTTCAGGTCAAGTTAGGTCAAGGTCAATGATATGTATTTGTATGTCTGTGTGTGTCTGTGTGTATGCTGATGTGTGGAACGATTGTTTATGTGTCCATATGACATGAAATCATGATCTGAGAAGCTTTTACCAAAAATGCAGTCAAAAAACTTCACGAAAAGTAAATTCAGCTTGCCTAAAACGCAATTATTTTAGATGACCTAGGTTGACCTTGACCCTGACCTTGACCTCTGTACATCGTCGAACAACATGTTCCACGATAGGTGGGAGGTAAGACTGGCAAAAAAGGCCGAAATCAAGGTGTCAAAAGCTCACAAGGCTCATAGCCAGCGCAAGATGTTGAGAATTGGTCATTTGGGTCATGACATGACCTGAAAAACAAGGTCATATCTCCGAAACCAAAAACCACAGAAAATTGAAATTTTCAGTGGACACCAAGAAAGGATAGAGCAGCAGCTTTACGAAAAATCAGGCTTCTAGCTCTAAAAATGTGGAGTGCAGAGCAGAAAGACTACCTGGGGGGTGGCAACCCCCCCCCCATGTGCGGGCGATGGTTAAATCAGCCTAATTATAGATCATTTAGTTTATCATAGGCATAGGTATGCCTTTATAGGTCAACACTGGTCAACAATTGAAGATATCAGGAGAGGACAGATGGAGACAAAAAGAGGTCGCAAAGGTCTAAGTTGTCGATAAAGGTCATAAAGGTCAAACAGGTGCCAATAAGCCAGAGATAAGTCACCGGTCTCTCTCTCTCTCTCTCTCTCTCTCTCTCTCTCTCTCTCTCTCTCTCTCTCTCTCTCTCTCTCTCTCTCTCTCTCTCTCTCTCGCCTCTTACCTCCACACAATCCTCTCCCGGCTGGCTGCTGGCGACAGATACTCCTCCATTATTCGGTTCGCCAGAGTAAAAGTAGCTAAATCCATACTGTCTTCCATCTACCCAGTCAAAGTACCCCTCGTAGGTACGGTCATTGAGGCCGATCCAGACGTGATCACGAATGCCTTCAGCGTCTGCGGTTGGGGGGGGGGGGGGATGGTGGGCCGTTATAAATTGAAGGAGGATGTTGGGGATACGTTATGGGGGACATTGTGGGTACGTGTAGTTGAGTAAATTTTAAGCATTATGAATAGTACTTCAGATAGTTGTAACAACTGACCTAACTAGTATTTGTTAACATAACTGGGTACCTTCATATGTAGGTTACATATTTTTTAAATGTTAATTGTGCTACAATATAATTTTATAGCAAAACAGCTGCAATATCGCAGATAATCAATACAATATATTATTATATTTCATCTATCCTGTCACTCGATATCGTTTTACCCGACCATGCCTTTTCATATCTACTCTTTCGCCTCTGCCCTCATCCCCATCGCTTCCACCCCTCCCTTTCCACCCCCTCTTCTCTCCTCCCTTTCTATCCCCTTCTCCTCCCTCCACTAACCCATCAAAGTGCTGATGAAGTGGTTTTCATTGCCGTTCATCACGCTCGCCAGAGTGCTGAAGCACCTGCTGGATGGCGGCGTGAGACGTTCGCAGGCCTCCTTGGCGGCGAACCAGTCCTTCTTGCTGGTACCGATGGTGTAGCAGATGCTGGCCACGTTCGAAGCTGACCAGTACTTGTAGAAGCCGCTGGGGCAGTTCTGGAAATAGAGAGGAGTATTAAGATGTATTTAAGGGTGAATAGGTGGACCAGTACTTGTAAGAAGCCGTTGGGGCAGTTCTGGAAGGGGAAGAAGAAGGGGGTTTTGCCGGGAGACCAGTACATACTTGTGGAGCCTGTTTGGGTAATTCTGAATAACAAAGAAATAGAGAAATAGAGAGAGAGAGAGAGAGAGAGAGAGAGAGAGAGAGAGAGAGAGAGAGAGAGAGAGAGAGAGAGAGAGAGAAGAGAGAGAGAGAGAGTGGGAGGGATAGAGAAGAAGAAAAAACAAGAAGAAATGAATAACATGCTGAAAAGGGGAATCAACACAATCGGACACCTACACTAATCTCTAAGAAATAAAACAATGCAATCGAGGCTTAGGTATAGGTACGTGGCTCTCCAGCACATGCAGTCCAATGTCAACCTCCTACCTTTCGACCCCCCCCCCCCCCCACCACCACCACCACACACGTCACACACACACACACACACACACACACACACACACACACACACACACACACACACACACACACACACACACACACACACACACACACACACACACACACACACACACACACACACACACACACACACACACACACACACACACACACACACACACACACACACACACACACACACACACACACACACACACACACACACACACACACACACACACACACACACACACACACACACACACACACACACACACACACACACACACACACACACACACACACACACACACACACACACACACACACACACACACACACACACACACACACACACACACACACACACACACACACACACACACACCTCCATTGTCAGCGTCTGACTCTACCCAAACTCGTGGCCAACCGAGTTTGCCCAGTTTGGGATTCATGCGCTTAGTTAAACAACTGCCGTCGACGTCACCGACAGAAGACCTCCCGTTCGAACGACACAATTTGCGTGGAAAATTGCGGACAAAATTACGGACGGAGTTGCGGACAGAATTTGCGACCGGAATTTTCCGGGCGACGTAACGGCGGAGATTTCCGACCCGAGTTTGGAGTTTGTAGCAGAGTTTGCAGGCGTAGTTGGTGGATTAGTCAAACGTGGTTCGCTGCAGGTGTGGAGGGGAAGTTGGGGGGAGAGGTCATGGATGGCTGGGTAAGGGGAAAGGGAGGGCTGGAATTGGGAGGGAGAAATGACAGCTGATGCAAAATCTGTTGTGGAAATTGAAAGGTGCGAAGGAACTAGATACAACAAAAGTGATCTGAAGGGATTGCTAAAGGGATTATGCGGTAGCCGATAGTTCGCTAGGAATTTCCTTTTTCGTGACTGATACAACATTTCGTCCACATATATTCACCAAATCTCAAAATCAATCCACCAAACATCACCATCATCACATTAATTCAATGTGTCGTTCCTCTTCTTGGCTGATGGCGATCGTGCCGCAGGGCAGAAATCGCGCCCTCATTAAACTTGACATCAGCGAAGTCGCCATCATTATACCCCAAGCATCCGCCTTCACCGAAAACGGGGAGTGTCTAAAAAGCAGACGAGATTAGCAGACGAGCCCATGCTCAGTAACTACTGGACCGATTTTAATAATTCTTTCACCATTCAATAGCAGGGAACTTATATAGGTGCCGTTTTTCGTTTTTTGGCGATTGGTTCACTCTGACTGGACCAATCGGACCAAAATGGTCCAGAACCATACACCCCCTTAAAAGCAGACGAGCCCATGCTCCGAAACTACTGGACCGATTTCGATGAAACCTTCACCATTAGACGCGCCGTGGTCTGAAACGGTGCCGTTTTTGATAATTTTTTGATTGGTCCACCCTAAGTGGTCCAAATCGGTCCAAAACCCCTAAAATCTGTTGCAGACGAGCCCATGCTCCGAAACTACTGGACCGATTTCGATGAAACCTTCACCATTAGACGCGCCATGGTCTGAAACGGTGCCGTTTTTGATAATTTTTTTATTGGTCCACCCTAAGTGGTCCAAATCGGTCCAAAACCGCTAAAATCTGTTGCAGACGAGCCCATGCTCCGAAACTACTGGACCGATTTCGATGAAACCTTCACCATTAGACGCGCCGTGGTCTAAAACGGTGCCGTTTTTGATAATTTTTTGATTGGTCCACCCTAAGTGGTCCAAATCGGTCCAAAACCCCTAAAATCTGTTGCAGACGAGCCCATGCTCCGAAACTACTGGACCGATTTCGATGAAACCTTCACCATTAGACGCGCCGTGGTCTGAAACGGTGCCGTTTCTGATAACTTTTTGATTGGTCCACCCTAAGTGGTCCAAATCGGTCCAAAACCGCTAAAATCTGTTGCAGACGAGCCCATGCTCCGAAACTACTTGACCGATTTCGATGAAACCTTCACCATTAGACGCGCCGTGGTCTGAAACGGTGCCGTTTTTGATAATTTTTTGATTGGTCCACCCTAAGTGGTCCAAATCGGTCCAAAACCGCTAAAATCTGTTGCAGACGAGCCCATGCTCCGAAACTACTGGACCGATTTCGATGAAACCTTCACCATTAGACGCGCCGTGGTCTGAAACGGTGCCGTTTTTGATAATTTTTTGATTGGTCCACCCTAAGTGGTCCAAATCGGTCCAAAACCCCTAAAATCTGTTGCAGACGAGCCCATGCTCCGAAACTACTGGACCGATTTCGATGAAACCTTCACCATTAGATGCGCCGTGGTCTGAAACGGTGCCGTTTTTGATCATTTTTTATTGGTCCACCCTAACTGGTCCAAATCGGTCCAAAACCCCTAAAATCTGTTGCAGACGAGCCCATGCTCCGAAACTACTGGGCCGATTTCGATGAAACCTTCACCATTAGACGCGCCGTGGTCTGAAACGGTGCCGTATTTGATACTTTTTCGATTGGTCCACCCTAAGTGGTCCAAATCAGTCCAAAATGCCTAAAACCCGTTTGTATTTTATCAGAGTCCGGATAGATTTCTGCAGCACAGAGGTGCCCCAATCCCATTGTCATGCATTTTGCTTTCCAAACTAGAGCAAAAATGCATGCTAATTGGGCCGAGGGCACCTCCGCGCTGCGGAAACCAGCTCATCGGTTGACTACGTGAAAACGTATTTTTGGGCTGTACTTGAACCGATTTGGACCACTTAGGGTGGACCAATAAAAAATTATCCAAAAGCGGCACCGTTACAGACCACAGCGCGTCGAATGGTGAAGGTTTCATCCAAATCGGTCCAGTAGTTTCGGAGCATAGGCTCGTCTGCAACAGTTTTTAGGGGTTTTGGACCGATTTGGACCACTAAGGGTGGACCAATCAAAAAATTATCAAAAACGACACCGTTTCAGACCACGGCGCGTCTAATGGTGAAGGTCTCATCGAAATCGGTCCAATAGTTTCGGAGCATGGGCTCGTCTGCAACAGATTTTAGGGGTTTTGGACCAATTTGGACCACTTAGGGTGGACCAATCAAAAAATTATCAAAAACGGCACCGTTTCAGACCACGGCGCGTCTAATGGTGAAGGTTTCATCGAAATCGGTCTGGTAGTTTCGGAGCATGGGCTCGTCTGCAACAGATTTTAGGGGTTTTGGACCGATTTGGACCACTTAGGGTGGACCAACCAAAAACTTATCAAAAACGGCACCGTTTCAGACCACGGCGCGTCTAATGGTGAAGGTTTCATCGAAATCGGTCCAGTAGTTTCGGAGCATGGGCTCGTCTGCAACAGATTTTAGCGGTTTTGGACCGATTTGGACCACTTAGGGTGGACCAATAAAAAAAATCATCAAAAACGGCACCGTTTCAGACCACGGCGCGTCTAATGGTGAAGGTTTCATCGAAATCGGTCCAGTAGTTTCGGAGCATGGGCTCGTCTGCAACAGATTTTAGGGGTTTTGGACCGATTTGGACCACTTAGGGTGGACCAATAAAAAAATTATCAAAAACGGCACCGTTTTAGACCACGGCGCGTCTAATGGTGAAAGTTTCATCGAAATCGGCTCAGTAGTTTCGGAGCATGGGCTCGTCTGCTTTTAAGGGGGTGTATGGTTCTGAACCATTTTGGTCCGATTGGTCCAGTCAGAGTGAACCAATCGCCAAAAAACGAAAAACGGCACCTATATAAGTTCCCTGCTATTGAATGGTGAAAGAATTATTAAAATCGGTCCAGTAGTTACTGAGCATGGGCTCGTCTGCTAATCTCGTCTGCTTTTTAGACACTCCCCCGAAAACGACGCTACGTCTTCTTTAACAAAGCCTGGCGCCGTTATTATGAATCAGCAAACACTCATCAGCGGTTATGCCGGCGCTGTAAGCACGTGCTGATTTTAACGAGGCCCTCGCGCTGTCAGGTGTCAGTTTCAGCGTGTTTTCCGTGTTTCGCAGTCGAGCGTTTCACTCAAGACGCTAATTACTGCTCCTCAGGGATTCAGGGAAGCGTTGAGAAAGGAGACGCTAAAATTAACCGCGCTAGTTGTTCAGGACAGTGCGGACAAGGGGATTCAGCGGATAAAGGAATGCGGTAGGGAAAGATAATCCAGGAAATATGGAAGTTGTAGGAACTTTGCTGGTATGAAGTTTGAACTTTTGCATATCTCATGGCTGATTGACTGTAGAAGTTGATAGCGAACATTGCAAAACTTTACTTCCTGTTCACACACATACTGCTTCCATTTTGAGCCGTTTTATAAGCATTGTTTATAATGTTTAAAGGTAGTGTGCCACCTTTGAAAGATTTCCCATTTTATTTTTCCTAGGATAAGAAGCTTCTGTTTTTACCTAATATCGCAAAAAAAATCAAAAATGGGCCTGGAATAGTGCCTTTTTCGCCTAAAAGTTTATCGGTTTTTAGATATGTATAACAACTGTAGTGGGCTCACCTGCAAACAGGCGTCGGCAACAATCGCGAATGCGGCGCACATGTGACAATAAGCAAAGGTCATTATAGTGTTACGACCATACGACGTACGGGAATGAGTTATCAGCTGTCTAATCGTAGACAACACAATGTCGAGCCTTAAACTGTAAGCCTGTATTGGTATTGTTTCTTTTATTTGGCTGTCGAACATTATTTATGATTTGAAATATGATTTTATGTAAAATAATTGATATGAAAAAGCCGTCTCATAAGTTATGACCCCATTTCACCACACGCAAGTGGCAGAAATGACAATGATCAGCTGACGCATTTTTCTTGGCCGAAGTCAGAGCGCGCAGCCCGACGCACCACCACCGCACCACAAAGTATGAGCAGAAGCCGCGCCCAAAGCCAGGGCCCCGGTAACGTGAGGTAGCCGAGTCGGGGCAGCGTGCGCTGACCCAAGCCGGGGCCGCAGCTTTGGGCGCGGTCTACCGCATCCCCGCGGGCAGCCCCGGGCTATCACATGACACCGGGAGGACGCGCGGCTCCGGCTTGGGTCAGCGCACGCTGCCCTGACTCGGCTACCTCACGTTACCGGGGCCCTGGCTTTGGGCGCGGTCTACCGCACCACCTAACAGGCGTGTTCGAAACCGCAGGAGCTGATGATGAACGGGTTTATCGAAACTTGATTGGATGAGCATATCGGTAATAGCGATTTCAGTGTGTGCATTTATTGTTCATAGTGGTGTGAAATGTGGTTGGGGTACGACCGACAACCCGTCGGGGCGAATTTCGCACTGGGGTACTCAAAATTTGAAGAATTTAAGACGTTTCCATGAGTTTTGAAGGTATGGATAAGTTCTAAAAATCCGGTTCTCCTTATCTGGGCCATTAACTCCATACGGTCCAGGAAAGCTGGCACACTACCTTTAATTATATTGTGTTTATAATGTTTGATTTAATAATTTCAACAAATATTTGCCTTCGAACTATCATCATATATATCATATTTATCCGAAATCGAAAAAATGTATCCACCAACATGTACCGAGAACGAAAGAACTAACGCACTGCCTTACACAAATCGTAGAAGAAAAAAAAATATAACACATAAAGCTAACTGGCTAGCTCTCAAATCTAACAAAAATTTTCTCGAGACTCCGCCACTTACCGGCGACCAGTACTGCCTGTTCCCCTCTTCCGCCGTCTCTCCAGTAACCAGGTCCACACCATCAAACACTTCCACTTCTTCATCCAGCCATTTCCTGGTCTCAATAAGCTTCCCCAACTTCGTGATATTCAAAACTTCAACCTCACCATTCTTCTCAAACTCCTGTGGTTTTGCTGGGACTGCAGATACCCCTACCAGAAGCAGTAGAAGTGGTAGAAAGACACCACCACGAGCAGCCATGTTTCTCCCTCTCTCGAACTCCACGACGAAATGCCCCGGGCGGTGAGCTGTATGTGGCGTCAGTTTTGGGCTGCACCTGTGAGAATACGTCACAAGCGTGCAGTTTTACAGAACACAGATGGGGCATGCCATTGTTTGCGATGAATAGGGGATCGGTTGGTGTCATGTTGGATGGAAATTCCGACGGGCATGCTGCTGAGCGAGGATATGATTCAGAGGGATGTATTCTGTCCAATGTTTGCTCTATTCCGCCACTCGTTTTGCCGCCCCGCTCTGCAGTCCGCTCTGCCCGCCCAGCCGTGCTACCCATCCTCCCTCCTCCATCCACCCCCCTAACCCCCTCCCCAGTGGGCTCCACCCCCCCCCCCCCAGTCCGCTCGGCGCGTCCTTTCCGCTTTGGTATGCGGCACATCGTTCGCAGTTAAAACGTTCCGTATTTCCCAGTTTGGACTCCGCCGTCCGCTGGCCCTGTGAATACAATCGAGCGTGTTAGTCAATGTCAATACCAGCCAATGTAGGTGCCAGTTGATAAAAGTCACTTGGCGGGCTGAACGGGAGAGGGTTCCTGCCGCTGTTGTTCTGGTGATGTTTGGAACGGTGTGAAGCGTGGAATTTTGATCGGATGTCCAAATGATGACAAAAGGTATCGGTCTCGCCTGATTGAATGACATTGGCTAAGTTTTTTTATACGACAAACCAGTCAGGTTCTTTTGTGAGACATCAATCAACATCCGGAAGGTTGGCTGATACATTAACCCGTCAGTTGTGAATTGATTTTAGCTGCCATCGCTCTATGGTTGACGGCTACAATCTATTGCCGGCTATTTTTCAGCCCATATATTTCATCGCTGCTAGCCGCGGACAGCATCACACCGTAAGACATCCATATCTGGATCTGTAGGGAACACTGCGCTTTTATCGTTGGCAAGAAGCCGTTTCTGCCGTCGCCGCCGCCGCCGCTGTCGTAGCTGTCGAACCGCCAAAACCGTCGATGCCGGCAGTGGGTTCACAGATAACCGAATTTTTTCGTCCCGACGGTACAGCTGATTCAATAAACCGCTCGACGTAACGCTGTTTTCCTCCAGCGGGGGACCTGAACAAGCTTCGGCTCGTGTCGCCGTCGTTTTTTCTTGGAAGTGACTTCGTTTTTATGCTGGTGGTGTTTGAGGATTTCACGGTATCATGCGAAAGGGGAGGATGTGTTTATAAAGCGTCTTTATGAGTTTAGAAACTTCGTCCCGGAGCTCATTTCGTCACGAAGTTTTATTTCATCTTTTAGCTGGTGGGGAGCGTGAAAGAAGTGTTGGTGTCGGAGATTTCTTTCACTGCACCTGTTTTGATCGTAGTGGGAACTTGGTGGAACTTTGACCAGGACGGCCCACGGAATAAAAAAGTTGATAAAAATCTAATGTGCGTTGGCAATAAATCGTAGAGTAGAGCTTTCAGTAGCCCGTAGCCCGTTTCTCCAGCTGAGCTGAAATCATACAGGCAGAAAAGAAATGGTAAAGAAAAAATCATGCAGCATTTATTCACAGTTATTTCTGTTTACAAAATCACGTTGACTCGTCACAAACACATCGCAATCGAGTATAAAAAGCATGACAAAGAGGTTAATCAACGCTACATGTCGGTATATTTGATATGAATGGCAACTAACGAATATTAGACCGGAAATATTACATATTCACCTCTCATGCAATGCTAGGAAGTGTTATGTCCCATTTTGTTCTTCGTGGTATACATACATTTACCGAAGTTCCTCGATAATGTAATGACATTCATAGAGACTAATTTTCATGCTATCCTATTGAGGATAGTTCGGTGAACAGCTGTTGCCGCTCTGTACACTTATCAATGCTTATCCGCTCTGCGTGAATGGATCTATTTTTACCCATTCATGCACGAGATGAGCCATTTGATTATTCGGCTACCTCTTTTCCTAGATCTTATTTGGCTCTCCTTTTGGTTAGGCTTGGATAAGACATGTTGTCGAGCGTAAGCTAGCGCAGGAATAAGAAATTGTCGGAATTCATTTGCTACATTAACGCCCCATTCACAATGGGTTGTCGTGGTTTAGATACCAATGAGAACCACATATCTCTCCTGAGACTCTATGAAATATTTTTTGTGGTCATGAAAACCAAATAATATTTTCTATGTGCGCCTATTTTATGCCTGTATTCACTATACAAATAGTCGCTGTCTGAGTTCATGCTAACACAATCCCCATACCAGTCAGCTCCTGCCGTGTGTTGTTCGACAAAAGTGGCGCACTTGTGGGCGTGTTGGGCGACAAAAGTGGCACACTTGTGACACTTGTTCCACTGTATTTCTTTATTTGTCTGCCGTTACGTGGCAGTTTTGCGGCGGCTCTGAAAAGGGAGCAATCGGAGGTCATTCACCTAATGATGCACAGGTGTTTCGTGGAGGAATGACACACGAATCAAGTGTATTCGGGTGTAAGTGCTATTCGCACTAGCTGATCATGGCTTTCCTATAGCACACCTATCCCATTTATTTCTGACGCTGATAAAACATAGAGCTGAAACTTGTATTGATAGGAACAGCAATACAATGAAATATTAAAAATATTTGATATCAAAATTGAGCTGCACTGCACCCTATAGCCACAATGCAGGTGGGGGAGCGGGAGGCTTTTCGGGCTGCTGCTGTACACACCAGAAGAGTCATTCTTCTCATTCTCCTCTTCATTTATAAGTTTATTTTGACCTCACTTACGATGATTATCAACAGGTCTTCAAGCAATTAACAAGTCTTTATATCTCACGACTGTTTTACTTTATTTCATTTACAATTGCCGACCCAGACCTGCTTACACGAGAGCAGGAAGTTTTTTTTATTTCGTCTGAACATCATAAATGTCCGCTCCATATCCTCTGTCCTCGAGATGCTTCCTGTTACACCGAAACCGTTTCAGCTCTGTGAACTTTTATTATTACCCGAACGATCTCACAGCCATGTCACTAACCCAGCATCGCAGTCTGTCTGGTCTCCGTGGCTCATTTCTCATCGACGATGACCAAGAATGAATGAGTGTCCCATTTATGTAGGTTCCGGAGGAGCTGGTTCTGGATGACCTTGAGGCTGGAATTGTTGGTCGAGTGCCTAGCGACTGGAATCCGCTCACTGGAGGTGCCCTGATACATGGCGCACGTTTGTCCAGCGGCGGCGACATTGACAGCAACAGTGGCGGCTGGCAGAGGCGGTGACAGTTTGGCGACACTTTTTACACCTCTAGCGACAGTATTGATAGCAGTGGAGGTGACGGGATAGTATGGCGAGAATATTTACGGCTATACTGACAACATTAGCCATGTGGGAGGGATTGCGAGATATTTCCGTGTATAACTGTATAGGCGACAGTATTGACGACAGAGGAGGCAGAAAAATGAGGAAAAATAGGCATTAATTATTGTGGGGATCAATGATAGCACAAGGCGACAGTATCACGTCAATAGTTTCACTTCTTCTGACTGGTGGCGACAGGGGAGGTGACAATAGGCTGCGACTGTATGGCGGTTCATAATTTTACCTCTATCGGCATTGTTGGTAGAACGGCATTGTCGGTATCAAAACGACAGCAATGACAGAAGGTTGCACTTTCATCTCAAACAACAGTATTAGTGAGATAAATGTGGTTCATAGATTTGCGTTTAACCCGCGCGGGGCTGGGGGGGTAAATTTTACCCCCCTCGCGAATTTTTGCGATATCTCAAAAACGGCGGCGCGCAGCGCCGCCAAACTTTCAGTACCTTTTCTTACATCAATTTGACACGTTCCCTGAAAATTTGAGCGAAATCCGTCGGAAAATTTTTGAGAAATTGACGTTTTAGTGACGTCATGTTCGCCATTTTCGCCTCAAAAACGGCAAAAGTTCAAACGCCGCTAACATCTTCATTTTTAAAGGAATCAAGACGTAACAAAAAAGGTTATACGTAATTTTACTTTGTCTATCAAATGGCTATCTCGGTTTTTTGAAAATTTAAGATTTTGGCCTAAATTTTTTCAAAAAACTGACTTTTTTGGGAAAATCATTATAAAATCCAAAATTTTGAGTCTATCGAAAAAACCGGAATATATGTCAGAGAAGTGGTCTATGTGCACCTACATACCAAATTTTATAAGAATCGGTTCAAAAATGTGGGAGTTATTCAAAATTTTATGACGTCACGACACACAAAATTTTTGAAAAATGACTTTTTTGGAAGTTCTAGACCTCGTACGGAAACAAAAATAGCACCATTCGATTCGCCGTGAAAAACTGCATCAGATAGATACCTTTTTAGGCCTTAACAACCAACTTCAAAATTTGACCTCACTTGACCTGACCTTGACCTGACCTCGACCTGAAATTCATCCAGAGGTGGTCCATATCACTTATTGAGTGTGCCTATTGAATTCTATGAGTAAAATGACCCATAAAACATGTGTCGCACATGCCCTTTTCTATATTTTGTTTTTTGGTGACCTGACCTGACCTGACCTGACCTTGACCTTGACCTCTGAATGATATTGTATGCAACGAATATTGTCTTGGTAGCCTAAGAACACGTTTTGGGCAATCAGTCTCAGTCCATGACTCCATTCTTCGGCAACTACGGTGCAAGGCCGATACTGTAGAAACTTGCAATTTGTACCCTTGACCTGACCTTGACCTTGACCTCAAACTTTAAATTAAGTACATGTTTTTAGTAGTTCGTGATGAGAGCTTTCGATTGGCCTTTGAATTTTCCAAATCGGGCCATTAGTTCGGGAGATAACAGGGGGGGTAAAATTTACCCCCCCCCCAGCCCCGCGCGTTCGGCTGGAGACCCCAGCCCCGCGCGGGTTAACGACAGTAGCGGCAGCAGCAAGGCGACCGTATGGGCAGCAATGTTTGAACCTCACCTCCAGTGATCCTGGCAGCAGCACAGGAGACGGAACAGAAGATAATGACGATATAACTAAAGAAACGACAAGCAGATAAATGAGAGTCCAAGGCCATCTATACTAGGTCGTTCAATAAGTAAGGTAAAATGTGCTATAGCTCATTAACCTTAACAAGTTAAACAAA